AGGCCCGATTTGAAAGATTTCAAACTGCGGCCCATCTGCGCCGTCGATCTCCAAGATCGACGGCCCAGATGGGCCGCGATTTGAAATAGTTCAAATCGGGCCTACCGGCCCTTTTTTTCCCACGCTGCTTCTAGTTTCTCCCCTGGATTGATAGCTCTCACTGAAACTGGCATCAATGGCTGGTTTGATTGCTCACTGAAACTGATGATGCTTTGTGTTTTCCTTTCCTTCTATATTTTGTTATTTATTGTTCTCTCCTCTGGATTTACGAGAAATCGTGTTTTACTTTTCTTCTTTCAATTCATTGTTTTCTCCTCCTTTGGACTCACCTTTCTTATTTCGTGTTCCAAATAATGTGTGTGTGTGTGTGTGTGTGTGTGTGTGTGTGTGTGTGTGTACGTGTATGGCAGACGTCCGTGACTCGTTCCCATCTGGTGAAGGTTTTGGAAGGAGCTGGTTTCACATTTCAAGAGTTCATCCTAACACCTTTGCAGTTTCAGATTCCCTACTCGCGTCCTCGTTACTTCTGTCTTGTAAGTACGCTTGACATCCATATGCTTTCCTCCCCCCCTCCCTTTGGGCTTTTTTTTTACTAATTAGTAATTAGTAATTACTAATTATATTTTTCCACTTGTCATTCACTGTGTCAACCTTGTGCAGGGGACATTCTAATTTTCTCTGTATCATTCCAGTTTCGACAGATGTCACAAGGAACAGCAGGCTGAGTGTGCTTTATCGACCCGGAACTGAGTTCCATTATTTCATCATATGGGGACGAAAAACGGTTTCACCGTTTCATCAGATGGGACCCAAAAATGGCCAAAATGAGTTAAAAAGTAATAAAACCCATATGTCTTAATAAAAAAGGGTAAAAAAAGGAGTTTCACTGTATGGGGACCCAAAATGAGTATCACCAGCCCTCACCCTTCACGAGAATCCTGCACGGCAGCCGCCAGCCTTACTCGACAGTAAACCATAATTATTAATTATAGATGGCGTAACACGTCTGCAAATCGCCATCGCCATTCATGCTCGATAAAATCTTTTCACTTGTTTTGATTTGTAGCTGCACCTCCTGCATTTGCCGATGCATCCCATCGTCTCCTACCTAACTGCTAGGAAAAAATGGTAGTGATGTCTCTGACTCTTTGACTCTCTGGGTGTTTTTTTTTTTTTTTTTTTTTTAAAGGATAATCAATGGAACCTCATTGTCTGTTGTTCTTCGCTCTTTCATTGCCAGGCAAAGCGTTTTCCTCGCGCTTTTTTTTTTTTTTTTTTTTTTTTTAAGCATGGAATGGAACCTCATTGTCTGTTGTTCCTCGCTCTTTCGTTGCCAGGCAAAGCGTTTTCCTCGCACATTCGCGAATCCAGAATTGAATGGGAGATTATCTGATTCCCCACCTCCGTTGCCCTTATTGGCACAGCCAGCGACTGCGAAAGGGCTGTTTCTGCACAGACAACAGCAACAGTCACAGTCCACTGAGCGTCCCCTGTTTTCTGACGACAGACATCTGCCTTCTGCAATGTGCAGATGCTCAGAGCCATCCACCGCAACGGGAGCTGGGAGGAAATGCTCTGCCGCATGCTCCTCTGGTGATCAGATTGTTCCTTTGTCGGAGTTGTCGTCAGACTTGTCGTCGGACCTGTCGCCGGTTGCTGCTCGTGAGAAGGAAGGAGAGCGGATCGCATGCTGGTCATTGGCAGATTTCCTTGAAAGTTCTCCTGGGGAGGAGAGTCCTGACAGCAGAGGGGATTCTGCGACGGATGGACGGCTCCCCATTGCGGCAAGCAATGTCGTAAAGGAGGACGAAGACAAAGGCAGATTGACAACGCTTGAGAGCGGAACACCGGGCCATGATGCTGGGTCCGACTTTCGTATCTCTGCTGTAAACAAGGATCACACCGGCAAGAACGGAGATGGGGATGGGGAGGAGATGGTGGTGCTGCTGCCGTTCGGTGAACAAACAATTGATGATGATGTCAACGGCGTCGAGGAGTGCAGCATGGCGAGGGCGGCAATCAGTCCTGCAAACCTAACAGCAGCGGAGGAGAGTGTTCAGAAGCACACATTCGCCGTCCCAGCCAATGTTTTGGTCCGTTGGGGTGAGGCCTTGGGTATCCTTTTTTTTTCTTTTTTATTGTTGTTTATTAATTTTTAACATCTTGGGTATCCTTTTCGACGGATGTTCATTGCCGTCCCAGCCAAGTTGTTAGCTTGTTCGCTGTTACTCAACCGCAGGGGGAGGCTATCAGTGGTCAGGGCAGGTGGGGAGGTGCATGGTGCATGGTGCAGGGTGCAGGGTGCAGCGCAAAGATGCGGTCGCAAAAGTTTCGCATCGATAACTTCTTTCCCTCTTCAATTTGTTTACTGGACATTCGAGCGTGCAACAGTCAAGCATCCAAAAAATCTCTGTTTTTAAATTGGAATGATACAGAGAAGGTTAGCATGGCCCCTGCACGCAAAGCGGAGGGGGGGGATGGGGGGGGGGAAGAAAAGAGAGCTTTCAAAGGGAGAGTTGCATCGAAAAGATGCACAGAAACCACCACAGAAACTACCCCTGTCGCCAGAAAAGAGGCGTGAATCAATAACTGTGTGGGTGTGTGTGATGACCTTTTTCTTTTTGAAGTGTGGCACACAGAGCGTCCGGTGTCCACACTTTTGTTGCGTTGTGCTGCTGCTGTGGCGTGAAATGTTTGCCTTCTTTGAACCCTCTCTCTGTCTATTCCCAGAGTAGTTGAGTAACAACAACACAGGCCACGCGCGGAGATTTCATAACGGCCTGTGGAGGATTCAAATTTCGAAGTCCTGGTCGCATTTCTCCAATGTGAAACCACTGCGCTGCCTGCTTGAGACATGGATGCAACGTTGCGTGGTTTGCATCTTGCTCAGGCATCTGGAGATCCAAGAAGCTGCATGTAGTAGGGTCGCACTTGTCGGGCCATTAGTTCTCACAAGGACCACCTCCTTACAACCAATCACCCGATTGCTGCCTAGGCAGAGCTTATTAGCAGTTTTGTAACTTCTGGTGACTCTGGTCCCTTGGTTGCCTTCTTTTCTCGCCCCCAAAGAAAACGTTTCCATTGAATCCTTTTTTTTTTTTTTTTTTTTTTTTTT